GGGAGAGAACCGGACAACCGCTTGACTCCAGTTGGTCTCGTCCGTCCTCCCATACACTGTCCTTTTATTGAGGTTACATGAATATGCATAGGTTCATTAACATACCGACGTCTACATACAAACAAAGAGTACCTTGCCTGTGTGTGTGTGTGTGTGTGTGTGTGTGTGTTGCTGATCAAAGGGTCAAACATCCTTGGTCAGGAAGAGGGTAGACTAGACCCCCCCCCGGTGAGGAAGTCCAGCAGTTCATCTAAACAGAAAAGCACTTAGACTAGAACAGACGTAGCTACGTTAATCCTACCATAAAACAATTAAAACAAGATGCGACCTCTTCCCGTGCTCCCAGGATGTAGGTGTGCATTCTAGTGTGGAATGCACACCAAGCCTCTGTAGCCTTGATTGATTATACACCTCTAAGCATCTATGGTTAAATATTTCTAAGCATAAATGACAATCAACAATACAAACTCTAACATAATCAATAACTGGTATTGATTACATCTGAAGCCTAAAGGAACATGAAGATCAGACGTGTCCAGACAGCAGTGATAGAAATGAGAGTGCTGTTGTTGGAGAGCTCTTAGTTGTGGGTGTTTGGTCTTTAAAAGGACCGTTTGGTTTGTGGGGTGAACATGCGGCTGACGTGGAGCTGCTGTGGATGTGGTGGAAGACTTTCACAGGTCTGTTTCCTCGACATCGCTGGCCTCCTGCAGACCGTCCACAGCCAGGCAGTGAGCGCACACGTGCTGGTCAAAGTGCAGAGCCAGCTCCCGAGCCAACTCCTGGAAGTCCTGACCACGGCTCAGCGTCTCCAGTTTGTCCCTGCAGTCAGAGATGTCCATCGGAGCGAAGTAGAAGCGTGTCTGGCTGACGGTACATGAGGAGAGGACAGGAGGTGTCCTGGAGGTCGGAGTCTTGTTGTTGGGACTAGATGGAGTCTGGCTGCTGGATCTGTGCTCTGTGGTCCTGCTTCCATCCATCGTGGTCTGGGTGATGTTCTCAGTGTGAACTGTGGGACTCTGCCCTTTAGGCTGCTTTATATCGTGAGAGCTGCGGGCTGATTGGATGAGACAGAACAGGACCTACACGTCCAGGTCTCCATTGTTCAAGTGAACCCCCCCCCACCTCACCACAGGGCCCTGAAGCCATTCAGGAACAAACCAGAGTGTAATCAAAGCTGTTGATTAGTTTTCGTTGAACACAAAGACTTTGATCATTTTTAGTGATTATTCATTATCATTGAATCATCTCTGACAGTGATGAAGTCATTTTTATTACATGTTTATGTTAATGATATAGAAACAATTTAACAGATTTTGTCTTTTTAGCAGATGAAACAAATTTTATTAAACATATAAAAGGAACTTTTCGAAAGTTCAGAAACATTGCACCTCCTGCTCTAACTGGTCACTCAAATGAAGAGTGTGAAAACTTTCTTTCTTTATTAATAAGTCTAATATTTCCGGAGCAAACATCAGTCCTCCTCCTTTCTCTCTGACTCCACGCTTTAACAGGCCGCCACTCTTAAAGAGCTTTGGACCAAGTTCTCTGAACGCTGTCATCAGTTTGGTTGACAAAATGAAACCAGCACACTCTTCAAAAGGGTCTTCAACACCATTGGACCGTTTGTTCTTAAGGTAATTAATAATTCTTTGACCTCCGTCTGTGTCCCTACATATTTTAAACAAGCTGCCTTTTATTTCAAAAGTGTTCTATATATGCTCCCACTCGGGCATATCCTGAATAGCTTTGAGT